AGCTCTTTATTGTGTATACTGTACAAAAACATCATGATTAATAATTCATCCAATTTTTTTAAAGTCCTAATATGTTTTCAAGTGTAAAATGTACATGCAATACACACAAAAGTACATTTCCCTCTGAGAAGTATTGGAGAGAAAGTACTCAGCAGGGTGAGACGAAGATAGTCCTCGTTATCCCAGCTGCTCTGTGATTGGCTGCTGCTGGGTCAGGCCTCTTCTGAACACGCCCAGATACGATTGCGTCAGCTCCAATATTTCAACCGGGTCCGAGTCACCGAGGAGCGGACTCCTCCGAACCGACGACACGGTGCCGCCTCCGGAGCTCAAACTCACATCCGAGAGGAGACTTTTCACGCGACCGCAGAGACTGAAGCTGTCCGGCTTCTCCAACTACAGGTTGAAACTCTCGATTTAAGTTCAGAACCCGACCTCCGTGTTCACCGACTTCTTCTGAGCGACACCACCGGGAGACTCTCACCGCCGCCGCCGCTACCACCTCCACCACCTCCCGCTCCTTCCCCGGAGGAAGTTCCTTCCATCTCGGGCAACTTTGACAAGGAGGAGAGAGGAAGGGAAACCAGAAAGAGAGTATCTCCCCCACGTCGCTGCCGTTATGGACTCAGGAAAGGTAAATTATTTCCGTGACTCATTTTTCCTCCACGAGCTTTAAAACCCCCGTGTGATGTCCCGGTGTTGTGCCCTAATGAGTCCCCCCAAGGAAACGACTTTAGTTCCGCTCTTCCCGCGAGTTCACTGGGTTCAGAACATCGTTTTGTGCTTCGTGATGGAGAGTCAACATCATGTACTCTATCTGCTGCCTCTTGTATTTGTTGAGGAGTATTTTTGTATTATTTTACTTAATGATGGCGCTTGACATATTTTTATTCCTCAAACATAAACGATTATAGCACAACTACAACTAATACTCCTACTATGTGATGCTCATTTCGTTATTCCCATTAGTTAGTGCAAAGTGTCCAGTTTTATATCCACATTTATAATATATCCACACTTAATGATTCTATTCCAACACATTTCAAAACGAAATGTACTATTTATATATATATTTATTTATTTATTTATTTATTTCTATAACTAGATTTGACAAGTTTTACTTAAGGCAGTATTTTAGTTGGAGCAGCTTACTCTGCATTATTCCTGAGGTAAAATAACAATATGTAAAATATTAAATACGTAAGTTATTATAAATCGTTGTGCTATTATAGACAATAGAGCCGCAATTAACTACTTAAGTTTTCTCAGTTAATTGATCTGAATATCATGATATGTAATGAAAACTACTCACCACTGTTCCTCAGACTCAAAGCGACAGTCGTATCAAACCTTACTGAAGTTACACAGGTTACTGTTGCTTCAGACAAACAAAACCAGCAAATCTTCACATTACAGAAGATGGAACCTTCCAGTGTTTTGCACTTTTGCTTGATAATGACTTCTAAAAATGAAATGGTTGTGTTTTTTGAGTGTTTGTTGAACCAAACAGGACATTTGAAAACATAATTTAAGGCTCTTTTCATAATTTTATAAATAATTATTTGCAAATGATTAAAGTCATAATGAGGATTTTGGTCCTAATTTAAATGCAGAGTATCGAAGACGCAGCAGAAATTTTTTTTGATTTTAATTTATCCAGCTTTTCTATTGTGTTCTAATGTGTTCAACCTTGATATAAACAATCACTAATCACAACTTGATGTTATAATGATCTAAAGTCTTTAGTCTCTTACTCTGTGAGGCTCAGAAAGCAAAACTAATAGAACTCATCTTGTGTGATGGAGCATTTTCCATCCAGCTGCAACTTGTGGTCGCTGTTACATAAATGCAGACATGCAGCTCAGTGAGGTACGTACGTCATTTACCCAGTAGAGCAGCACAGTGTGACACAGAGGCCACAAAATGTTTCCAAAGCTGTTTTCTAGTATGCATAGCGTCCTGCCGTGGCCCTTGAGCTGGACGGGTTTGTTGTGGACGTGATGGGAAAGGTCCTAGTTTCCACTGTGATGTACAGACAGCAGATTTGCTGGGCGATGTGGTCAACCCTTGGGGAGTGAAACCCTTGACCCTCGCCCTCCCAGACTGTTTGCTTCACTCCCTCTTTTGTGTTTTGTTGCTTCCATCAGATTCGGACTAATGGGTGACTTAGTGAAGAAATCAGTATGGGAAGTGTCACTTTTATAGCTCTGGTGACGTGAATCCGATTCAGGGAAGTGTTTTTAGTTTGATGTTTGATTAGTGCTTGAATTAATACCTGTCCTGGCATTGACTCAGTTGGGTGTGGCTCCATAAATGTCACGCTCTTGGCTTAGTCCAGGTTTATTTGCAGATTCACATAATGCAACTTCAACTGTCTCCTGTTACGTAATTTTCATCAAAAATAACAGCGTGCGTGCTTCTCCATCAAAACATTAATGACGCTCATCGTCCCATTTTGCCCAGTCTTAGAGCGTCTCTCTCAACAACAGTCAGCTTTGTTTGGGTTTTGAAAACTCACCTCAGCCTCTAATTTTCCCCAACAAAGAATGAAAAATGCTAATTGGGGTCAAGCATACAGTTGACCAGCTCTGTTTTGAACGAACCAGCTCCTACACATTTGATTTCTGACAGACTCGACAGCACAGGTATTTTGATTGGGAGCCTGGAGCCAACAACCAGCCTCACATTGTACAGAATTTAATTGCACATGCGGCTTAATTCCCCCTCCATCCTCTCTGGCTCTCAGAAATCTGCCAACTCCTGCTCTCCTTAAGACCCGAGTCCAGTAGATGGACTTTCGTCTGCATGACTAGCTCCGTTCAGTACGCCTTAGAGTGGGACCGTCAGCCACGTCCTAATGAGACATAATGAGGCTTTGCTGCGAAAGTTGGGATTAAGAGATCTGTGAGGGTTTTAATTGAGATGAACAAGTAAGCGAGAGTGCATGTTTAATAGTTTTTTATAGCCACTGTACTGATCTCCACTTCTGATTGCTGTTGGATGAAATTAAGTGCTTCATGCCGGGCACCTCCTTCCCTACGGGCTTCGTTTAACGGCACCGGAAAAATATCGCAAACCATAATTGATCAAAACCTCCCTTTATCAATATCATCGTGACAAATAGACCCCATACTGCAAATACAAAGTCTGCTCTCATAGAGGCACCACAGTTCCACTGTCCCCTCTGCCAAGGTCATGTTTAACCTGTTGGATTGTTTGTAAATTAATCAGCAGGATTGTGCAAAAACTAACTGTTGGATTATCACAAAATTCAGTGGAAGGATGTGGGATGGTTAATGGAAGAAGTGAGTAAAGTTTGGTGCAGAGCCAGGATCCCTTTTTTTTTAACTTTCTGAATAATTCATGGGTCTTGATAAAAATCAGACACATTTAGGAAAGTGATATCTATGTGTGAAAGTCGGTTGCAGCTAGATTGAATTTTACAGGACTGTTGGGCCTTAGCAGAGTTATGTGCTCAACTGAGTGCTATTCTAGTTTATATTAGCAACACTAATGTTTCCAAGCAGAACACAAATGTAAATACATTTAAAACACTTTGCAGCAGCATGTAATACATTATATATGAATACAGCACATGCCGCTACAGCACCTCTGAAAATAAGATGAACAATAGGGTTTCATTCCATGTTGTTTAAATTGACCAGGAAACGTTTTCAGGAGTCATAGTGAGGGATACTTCCCCTCCAAGAAAGTCACTGACTAACCTGGATGAGATTTACCAGAAATATAAACCAGGGGAAGATATTTAATTACAGACAACACAATGCTCTTCTTCAGCATTGTACTTTTCCATCAAATAGTTTTTCACAAGGAAAAGAAAAAATGGGAAGTTATTCTTATTTTCGGGGCTATTATGTTATTAACTTGTAAATTGTCTTTGTCCTGAATTAATATTCTCCAATACAACAAAAAAGGCTGATAAGATCAGGACGAGGAAGCTTCAGGGCCGAATAGAGCGTAGCGTGAGGGGGTGAGTTCGGGGCACATATTGGATTTCCTGCCACTGTGTAAGCTGAGCCTGAAGAGGTGACGTGCGGAGGGGTGTGAAGGCGGCAGCGTAGGCCGTCGCTGGCAAGGAGGAACTAAACCCAAACTAATTTCATAGAATCGCTTACTTCCCCCCTTATTCTTTTCAAGCTAAATATTGTCAATTTTAAATCATCTGAGAGTCTGGCTCTAGTGATACAAATAGTTTTTAATCAAATGTGAAGTTGTTTTTAACTTAAACAGACTTCGTTTATCACTGTTGAGGCGTCAATCATAGATTACACAGCCTCCGCAGTGATCTGGTTTGAATATGACCCACTTCATAGTGTCAGGTTGAAGTTTAGCATTTGTGCGTCAGTATTTTTCCTTTGTCTTTTTACTGTTTGAAGAAAATGTCACTTGCTCTTCATTTGAGAATGTAGTGATAACAATAAAGTGTCAAAGCGTTGCACACTTTCTCGTCAACCTGTGGCCAAACAGTAGCCAGAAATCCACATACGTTAAAGAAAAGCCATGCTATAATATATCTTCTATTTTGTAGTGTCTGTAAAGTGATCTTCCCTTAAAGCCTCATATCATCTGGTCTTGCTGACATTTATTTATAGATTCTCTGCTTCACTAAATAGTGCGTTTCATCCTGTTTACCTGTTTACATGCTTAGTTGTGGCCAAACTCTCATTTCTCAAGAATTTGTGTCACACTTCTGTCTCTGACTCGTTAGACTGCAAGTTAGAACACTTCTCTTGTCTTTGTTTTAACATTAGTACATGTTTTTTAATGTCAAAACAAAACAAATGTATTATTTTAGTGTAGATCATGTTTTTATGTTTGAATTTCATAGATCAACCTTATGTTTAGAGCTGTTTTTAATATAATTTGACCTGCTCTTCTACCTTATCCCCTCTTTGTTCTTTATTAACATCATTACACATGGTTTGTTTTTCTATGATATGAGCTGGTGTCTAGATGTTTGCAAAATATCTGCTAATAAACGGCATCATGTGCTTTATTAACGTGCTCTTTATCAGTCCTGTCAGTGGAGAGGCTGTGTTGTCAAGCAACGAAAGCTGCTATCAACAGTGTTAATATGCACCACAGCCTTGACTCTACCAGAATTTACTGGCTGCCTCCCCACATGCAAAGAGCATGCATACATTTGCATGGGTGTTTGGACTTTCTGAGGCATTTACATGAAATAAAAGTATACGAAGGAGATAATGGATATCGTCATCATGCAATTCTATCTGATAATTTTACAAAAATATATTTATCATACAAAATGTCCAGCAGCCACACTGTTCATTGAGTCAGTCTTGGACGAGGAAAAGCTGGTTTTCAGAAGCCAGCTGCAAAGTCCTGCCAGATCTTGGTGCATTTTGGCAGCTGGGTTTGTCTGCTTATTAGTGCCAGTCAGATTTCTCTCTCTCTCCCTCTCACGATCGAAATTAAACTTATATAGAAATGTACACATGTAAAAACATTTTTAAAGTATTGAACTTTAAGGGAAGAAACGCATTTATAATATAAAGCATTACGGTGTCATAGTACGGTACAATAAAAGACGTCAACTCGTTGATGTTCGAGAGAATTTCAACTGTGAAAAATAGCATTAAAGTATTTATAAGACCTTTTAAAGCTGCTGTTGGTTTTGAAAACAGCATCTTTCTGACAGAGTAAAGTCCTGCTCCCTTAATCTGGTTTAAACCTGCATGTAGATGTGGTACACGGTGAAATGCTCAGCCCTCTATGCAAGTAAACAAAAACTCCATTTACGAACATAAACACAGCTGAACATTGCTGCCGAGGAGATCAGCCCTGGGGGTGGGGGTCACTCCAGGTACTGTAGAGAACCACAGCAGCGGATAAGCACTGGTGACTTGCCATAGCTTCAAGGAAATAGTCATAAAATACTTTTATTGGGTGTGACTCCATTGTTTCCCCAGTGAGGAGGTCGTGTATTGTGTTGCTGCCGCTTTCTTTGTACGAGAAACCGTATTAATAATCTCACCTACCTTCAGAGTGTTTTATTGTCTTCATCATCTTATCCATTTTTTAACAGTAGAACAATTTGAAGCTTCACATGTTTTTATCATTTTTAGAAACAATGTGATCCCTGTATGTTGTCTTAAGACACATGGGCCCATCAAACACTGTGTGTTCACTGAGGCCCGGCTGCGGGAGGTCTCCTGGTTTGTGGGTTAAAGTTAAAGATGTCACAGAGGAGTGTTTGATTTCACAAGAACACACGCTGCCATCGCCATGCTTGCGTCTGGATTCAAACCCCCACCTTCAGGGGGAGTTTCTGCAAACAATTCCAACTACTCCCCAGGGGGGCTGAGACTTAGAACAGACTCAAGTGACGGATTTTCCCCAGATGGGGGTTTTGTGTTAAGAGTAAAAAGCAGCTGGAGGTGTATAGATTCTTTCTCGAAACAGCAGCAGCAGCGTGGGTTTGGCTCTCACTTCTGATTGGTTCTCTCGTCTGCAACGTGGCTCCTTTAAGACTGTGTGTGTGTGTGTGTGTGTGTGTGTGTGTGTGTGTGTGTGTGTGT